AATCTAATCTAATCTAATCTACCTTTAAGCTAACTGCTAAATGACAAGGACTTTCTTATCTCTAAGTAATAAAATAAATCCACTTCCACTCATTTATCTACCTGCTTCAAATTGATGCACTCATTAATTAATTAATAAACCAAAATTTCAAAATCTTTACTATTTAAAATTATGAAAATTTCGATTCAGATAATGAATCTGATTGAAATTACTCCAGCTCAGAGTGAGATGAAAAGCTGTTAATTGCAACCTTCTTTTTAAAGGTTGCAGTTTTCTTTTTTAGCATAAAAGCATCTTTTTATTTCTAATAGAGTAAATATTACATTTGATCATTTGATTGGTCTTCATGATGATGTTTGCTCACTAATGCACTCTAAGCAATCCCCCGAGTAGCCTTGAGACCAATGTATATAAAACAGTGTCTATGTAATTTAGCAACTTTAGAAAACAGAAATTAGATAAAACAAACCTCATATTTTCTGTTTACAATTTCAGCACCACAGCTAACTTCTGCATAAATTTTAACAAAAGAGCAGGTTAAAGCTTCAATCAGACATTGTTAAAGAATTTTGTGACTGTTGACGTGTGTCTTATAATTTGCATGAAAAATTGATCTTTGGGTTGTTATATTTTTTAATAACAAACAATTTCTTTGAATTTAGGTCTCAGATTCAATTTACTTATGGCGTCTAAGACATATCCTAGTAAATGGCTTATATTCTAAGTCAAATTTAAAAAATCCTTTTTCCATGCACTCGCTCTTTGAGGAGGGCTCAGTCTGATTCTGTTTTAGTCTCATATTTGTTGTAAATGATTTTTAGAATTTATCAATAGATATATTCATTTTTCCTGATACACTACTGAAATGCAGATAATGTGCAAAGGCGCTCTGCATTCACAAGCTAACAACATCACAAACACTTACAGCTGCAGCTTATTGAGATTTCTTGCTTTTACATTTTTCTTCTGCCCATTCTTGTTTCTAGCAATATGCAGTTATTTATGGTTCTGTGAGTGTTGTACTATGGGAATCTAGAAATAAAATAGTACTTTATGATTTATTCCACAGCACAGAGAAAAAAATTCAGCCTTGAGCTGCTGACATGAACATGAACACACACACACCCACATTCTCCCACACAAAAGGCAAAAAAAAAACAGAAGGAAACAGAATCTGAGATAGTATGAACACCAACAGAAATAGTTGCAGAAATGGGAGCAAATCAAGATCTGTTTATATCTATAGATATAAATATTTTTCTTTTTACGCTACTGCAGAATAATCCCTGCCTGATTGTCTTAGACCTTTACAGGGTGGGATAAATGCTCCCCGCTTCTGTCTGCTGCCGCCTCCTCAGAAAAGGCTGGCAGATGCAATAGAAGTGCACATTTTTGCAGATATATTTTGACTATAACACAGGTGCTTTTAGTTTCAGGGTTCTGTATTCTGTTCCATATCTTGTTTCTCCAACTAGTCAAAATGGACAATTTGTACAAAGGATCTGGCTGTCTGTAAAACCTAAAAATAAAAGTTCATCAACAATAGAAAGGTAAGCTTTTTATAACATTTTAAAATGTTATTAAAATGTTTTTTTTTACAGACATAACATATTGATTACATTTAGAATTTAAAGTTCATAATTAAACCCAGAACGGCTTTTGGGAATTTAGAAAATATATAAATCAAAATTAGTCCACGCTGTTAGACAGAACATAAAACTCCTTAATATGTCCAAAACTGAAGCAAAATGGTTGTGTCAACCATTTAACACAACCATGAACTTCAGTATTTTTCATATGATTGATAACAGAACAAAACCAGCGATGTATAAAAAGTGATAATATATACCAATGTATAAAGATATTCTTTATTCAATCAATCTGTTGTCCAAAGATGAGTGAGACAAAAAAGGCAATTTCTAGATGTGCAAAGCCCAAGAAATTTGCAGCTGCAATTTAAAAAAAGATGGAGTAATTAATTTAAATATTTTTGTTACTACTGGTTCCGAGTTAAATTTTCATGGTTGATTTTTAATTAATATTTAAAACTCTTTGTTGAAAACTATGCTCTAATCTCTATAATGTAATCACACAAACATTAATTGAAATAAACAGAAGGTTTCAGGTTTAACATAAAAAAGGTGATTTTGAGGAGCCATTTCAAAATACCTCTTGTTAACATATCCCAGTTTAAAACTATCAATTTATAAAATAAAAGTGGGATAGCTTTCTTTATAGACATCACATTGTTAAGCATACCTTACAAGCTCAACAATTGAAAACAAATTACCTGAAAATATCATCAGCTCACTAACGATGTCTCTTCTGCTATCTCTGACATAATAAGCCAAGTTATTTTAAACAACCTGCACCACACTTGTTTCTGATTTGTCTTTTCTGTTTTCACACACCCACCCACACACAGCATCAAAATGCCTTCTCCCTGAGTATCAATATTTATGTCAGAAAGGTATACCTATTATCAGTTGAAAAGTGAAAAGAACCTTATTTATACTTAAAAATCAGGCAACCTGTTTAGTGTAAAACTCCACAGACTCCAGGACTAAGAAAACTTCAAGACTAGGACTTGATCTGCTCAGAGCCCCTTACCTGTGAGTAGTTGTTTTTTTTGTTTTTTTAACTCAAGGCACTGGAGAGGAAGTGGTAAAGGTTCTTTAAAGGCAATTACATTTGTGTGCAAGATAGCCCCAAATTATCTGTCTAATGCTTTTTTTTTTTTTTTTAAATCAGTATGCACTTATCTTGTGAATAATAAGTGTGCTGTGACCACTTTTGGGTCCAGTTGTTAAACTTTTGACTTGTTTTATGCAAAAGTCAGGGACTCCTACATTTCAAAAGTGAGACATCTTCTTGGGGTATTAGAGCAGAAT